GGGGGGGGGGGGGGGGAGGGGGCACAGGGTCAAACCTCTCTCCTCAGGAGTAAGAAGTCACTCTTCTCCCTGTCTTTTTCAGGATCACGCCTTGATCAGACTGGGTGATTACGCTGTCTACTGCAGAATGACCTTCTGGTTGTCAACATTAGTGTGAAATATAACAAAGAGAAGAAGGGACTGAATGACCCCCCCTCCCCCACCCCTTTCCATTATTCACAGATGTGAACAAAGTTTAAGTTTTAATCACAGTTTATCCCAAGTCTGTGACAGTGACATGATTTCCTTCCCCTGACAGCGGCAGGATTCCACGCGTCTGGAAAAGGCTCTCAAATCAAATCAAGGCTTCAACATCAGGATCCATTACCTCCCAGGAGGGCGGGGTTATGATCTGATTAGGAGCTGAGAACCTCCACCCTGGACCAATATTGACGCTCCATCAGGAGACATCAAGTGGGTTTACTCCGGACACCAGAGCCGATCGATGCTGGCGTCAGAGGAAATCATAGAGAGCAGAGTTAGAAAGAATAAATTAATCATCGGCTTATGATTCTGTTTGTGCATCGACCAAATCCCAGCTGCAGTGAGATATTCATGACAACTTAACACTCCGACACACACACACACACACACACATTCTTCCACTGAGAGCCAGGAACAGATGGACCAACACAAACTCTGCGTGATCTACATCAATAATACACACTTCCATCAGTATGTAAGTGCACGTGAGTGTGCATGTGTGTCCTACTGCCCCACTGCCTCCAGGAAAATCTGCCGTTTACAAAACGCCTTTATGTTTGTCTTCATTTTCCTTCCTTTTTCTCAGGACAGGTTTTTAAACCGGTTGTAAACCGAAGATGCTGCATTTTCATAAACTTCAGCTGCGACATAAAAGTCTGCACTTGATCCATAAAAGAACATTAGAAACTAATTTGTAGTCCTGAGGAGTATGTATATCAATTAAGGAAGGACATTTCTTCCTGCTGCTGCTGCCACCTTAACGTAAAAGCTGAAAAGTCAATGATTTGTACCACAGTTCAGACATGATTTTTTTGGTCATAAAAAACAATAACAAAAACAATGAGGAGCAAAGAGAGAGAGGTGTTACTCCATATTTTCACAACAGGAACTTGAACCTGAACCAAGGTATGTCTGAGGTGTCTGACAGGAAGTGTGGCCAGTTTTATGTCTTCACCTCAAATCAACAGTAGGTTACATTAAGTTGGTGTTTGTGGTACTTCTGCTTCATTACGTTCTCCAACTTCTTCTGCAATCTTCATCATCATCATTCAATCCATCATCGTCATCAAAATCTTCACCATCGTTATTCAAACCATCATCATCGTGATTCAAATCTTCATCATCACTGCCTTCAACCGCTTCATGATCATAATTATATTATTACATCATAATTACAACAGTGTTAATCATCATCACTATCTTCATCATCATCATCATTTTTACCTCCACCATCATTCTATAACATCAATGCATCTCCATCTTTTCACTCCGCATCAGTTCATCCTCCTCCTCCTCATCATCACCACCATCAATCATCATCATCATCTTCGTCCATTGTTAAGCCTTCTCTTTTCCAACTAATGGAGCTGCATAAGCATCATTGATCTAAGTATTAGAGCTCTGTTTGTGTGTGGGAGATAGAGACACACATAGAAAGAGAAAGAGAGAGAAAGAGAGAGAGAGAGAGAGAGAGAGAGAGTGGGGTGTGTGTGTGTCAGAGTGACTTGATTCTGTTGATTCAGTGTGAAACAGGTTCTGTCGTGGACACACAGCAGTTTATTGGCTGTACTTTTCACACCGTTAGCCACAGTTGGCCTTTACGCATGAAGCAGAACAGGTTCAGATCCAATCAATCTTCAGGGTCCAGAAGCTCTGGAGCTCAGTAATCTTCAAATCTACTTTGTCTGCACATGTTCTCATCAATAAGTCACTAGGCTGAGGGAAAACTTTTAGGGGAAAACACACTTTTATTCAGAGAACCTCCTGAACTTCCTGTCTGATCCCACTGCACTCAACACAGGCTCACAGCCTCTCTGTGTCACCGGGGCCAAACTGGGACTTTGGGTCAACGTGCAGCAGGCGGTGCTAACGACACCCTGACCTGGAGGATTTTAGTCTTCGGTGAAAATCTGCCGTAATCAAAAATCTGCAGCTGCTGCTTTAAGAAGGATTTGGTTCAGTGACTGGAGCTGGTGTGAGAGAGGAGGGATTGAACCATGGTCTGATCACACTTAGCAAAGTTGATGTCAGCTTTCGTTTGATCATTGGAATGGTTCACAAAGTGAGGGGCGCTGAACTACTTTGTTCCAGAGGAGGAAGGGTTTTGCCAACAACCTGGAACCTTCATCAGGGCAAGTGGAACTGTTGTTTAAAACTTGCATCACTCTGTTCAAATCTATATCTCAATAAATCCACACCATCCTTCACACACACAAGACACCACATCAAAGTCATTAAACTCTTTAAAGCAGCGTGA